TGGCAGCGCTTTTATGAGCACGGTAACTTGACTGCCGGCCGAATTTTGACCCATTGGACTCTTGACAAACTCTTATTTCTGATAGCTATGTGACAAATCACAGCTACGAACATAGCTTGTAATACTCGTGAGCGCATCAAAACGATAACAGACATATTTATTATTTGTTTTGCTGTCGTGTTTGCAGCGGGGCTGTCGTAGCTCTTCATTAATAGGAAGCTAAGCTAAGGTCACCGAACTTACGTTCTATACTAAAACCAGTAAAGTGTAGCGGATCGCAATCCGCTACTTCCGAGAGTACCCAAAACCTTAACCATGGCAAATACACTCTTCTGTTCAACACTAAAACACTATTAGCTTGCGGCATAGCCGCCTATATCTTAATCCTTCGTTTCTCTGATTAAAAAAACTAAGTAGTTCCGCCGCGTCGTGGCTTCTTGTTACGGTGTAGCCACACCATTGTTTGGTTACAAAGACTTGTGTAATCCACACCTCTGTACGGTTACACCATGTTGTGTGACTAACCCTTTTACACCAGGGTTCGTGTAACCCCGTTACACTCTCCCACTCAAAATTGTGAATACCCACAATTCACATCTACCTGTCGCCTCGTACGAGGCCCGCGTGTCTGAGACACTGTTACATCCCTGAGACCATCTTTACACATTCTCTGCTCAAAGATCTCTGTATTTATGACACGCAAAATACCCAGACTTGCTCGTTCCGAGGGCGCCCGTGGGTAAAGCTCTTCTTCTTTTCTGCACGCGGTGTATCTCTGGACAGTACATTCATGGATCCACGGGAAGCCCATCCCAGGACTTCGGCAACCGAGCGCAACACACCGCGCCCGCCACGGGCGACGGCTTTCCTAGTGGAGGATTCGGATAAAGTCGACTACGAGTTGGATGTTTCTTTCCAAGGATGGGAAGAAGAGAAAGTGCGCCAACAACGCGATATGAGGCCTGCTCAAACCTTGTGGAGACCGTGTCTGTTCTGCAGCCTCTCAACTTCATGGAAAAGAAGTACTATTTTTAGTCGCCTTGACGATGCATAGGAACAGCAGCTGGGGGTTGCCCAAATGGCACCTTTCACGCGCCCGTATCCACGTTCGGTCTTATCCTTGTGTGGAGTACGGCTTCCACTCGGCAGATCCCGCTACTGAAGCGAAAGACGCGATCACTCGATCGTTTGGCGTCTACATAGTCGGCTCCCCGGCCACTATACAGACAAAGCTTGATCAGCGGATAGCTCTCCGAACTCGCTTTTGATACCACATGAAATCTCAATGGATCGGTACCGCGCTCGACTTCGCGCTTAAAAAAAGTGCTCCTGTACCTGCAATGCGGACTATTCCTGTGGTGCTTGCTCCTGGCAAAACCGCTGCAGATGATAAAGGGATCTTTGAGCGATGAGTGCAGCGGCACCGGAAAGTTCCTCGCTTTCTAAGCCACAAGTTAGTGGACGTACGCGTTGAGCGCCGTCTTAGATTTGAGTTTGCCAAACATAAGACGAAACGCCGACACCCTGCCAAACATGAAATAATACATTACGCTCCCGCGACCTTTGTGCTTTTTTCATACGGGTGAGTCTACGACAGCAACAGCTCAGCCCATAGCTTGAGCTCAACTCATGACCCTCCAAATTCCCGGGCAGCCGCCAACAAGCACGGTGCGCACGATCATACTGACCATAAGCATCCACGTCGTCTGGGTAGTCTTGCCGAAGTGGCAACTCAAACTCCCACGAGGTCACGGATTTTGGGAATCCCCACCACTTCACCTGGTTTTGGTTTAGACCCTGACGACGACGTCGACGCACAAGCCTTTTACGTGGTAGTGAAGGCCACCATTCTCATCGAGACGAGTAGGTGCGGACCATGACGACTTCGTCAATCGCCGTCCGGTGACTCGCGATGCTCTTTGAGCGTTGGAGGACGAAGTTCGTCTTCATCGACACTCTGCTGAGCATCTTTCTGATGTCATCTACCGCTGTGCGGAAGATCTCGAGAGCCTGGAGCACTTTATACACCGACTGTCTTACGTTGAGAATTATCGCGCTCTGTCGGAACAGCAATTGGCCGTCGAGCAAACGAATACGTCACTTCGTGTGATGGTGGAGCGCGTTGCGACATTGGAAACGGAAGTTGTTGCACTCAGAACCAGTAACTGGATCAGCTTCTAGATGGCCGGGCATCTTTGGGCGTCGCCACGGCGCTATCGCCTTCGCGTTTACTTGCGCCGGATCCGGGTTCGGCTTAACCAAGCCCACACAAAACACCGCGTCGGGGCGCATCATTTTCAGATCTCGCCTGGCCACGACCTTAAAAGGTTTGAAAAGCCGTGGACGGAGCTTTGTCTAAAAGGTAGCAGAAATTGCATGTGTCGAAAGGCTGCAGCATTTAATTAAACCAGGTCTCCAAACTC